CATTTAGGAAAGGCTTATTAACAAAATCCTTCCTAAGTTCCAATTTTCCTGTTCCAGGGTAATGATCACAGGCAGCATATATATACTGTTAGCAGAAAACAGTCAAATGTCCATATGGCATGCACTTAAATAAATAATATTTAAAAAATTTAAAAAGTAAATGGAATGTGTGTATGGATCTATGCAAATATTCACCTTCATTTTCAGGGATTTTCCTATGTAGCTGATCACAACAATTCTGCTAGTTGCTAGTTCTGCCTATGAAGGAACAGTCCCTGCCAGCTGGGATATTTCCCACTTGCCTCTGGGCTATGCAAACAAGGCCTGTGCCACACCTATAAAATTGTATCGGATCAAACCACTTCTCCTGAGCTTGCTCTTAATTCCACGTTCCCAGTTCTAATGTGTGACAGACATTTGAAGTCACTCACTCAGCCATCTGATTTAGTCCCTTACCAAGTGTTGTAAAGCAGAAAAGCATCCAAACGTGGTTGTTAAATTCTGATTAAAAACACTGTTCTGGAATTTTTTATTTGTTGTGAGTACACATACTTAAGAGAGCCTGCAATGAAGGCAAGGAAGTCTTAAATGTTGACAAGGACTTTAATTTTGTTTTTCCAGTAACAAAAAATATAGGGTGACAAAACTGATTCACAGGACAGTAGATTAATAAAATGTCCATGTGAAGGATGTAAGGAAGAAGTTGAATATTCAAATTAAAATGTACTTTTATGTGTTTTGTTTTTATGGAGCAGAGTCGGAATTAAGCAGCTTCACGACATAGGATTTTATTTGCAATGAAGTTATTTTGCTGTTAATGGTACTGTTCCTTCCTGGGTGGAGGGGCCAGTGGGCCATGAGCTTTCAGACAGGGGTCCAGTACCAATGTGTCATACAAGCATCATGTTATTTTGTTCTCTTTCACTAAATGTCCTACAGCTTGCTGTTGTTCTACCGCAAAAAGTGCAGATAGGAGCCTTTGTTTATTTTCAAAAATAAGATGTATTTTTTCTCACCAGATATTCAAAATTTCCATTTTTCCCCCCTTAACACTAACCCCAAATGCTGAAGTAGTTACTTGGGTTTCAATGTTCTCTTATTTCTAAATAACTGGAAAAGACATCATTAAAATAGTCTCCATAACTTTCTATCTTATTAAGTATAATTAGATTCTTTAGTATTATTTTTCCCTCTTAATTCTTATTTAATCTGTTTTGTTTTTATAGGTGTTCTAAGAAGAACTGCATTTTAGGTAATGCTTTTCAATAAATTTCTACCTAAGAAACTCATCAGACAGTTTGAGCAACAAAACCAAGTAGCAGTAACCACATGAGTCAAATTTAACTTAAAAGAAGCTTTTGAAACCACACTGCGGATTTCTAATCTGCTTTTTGTCCTCAAAATTGAATCTAAATTACTTAAATGTAAATTAAAAATAGAAAACTATACAACTGCAAAGTTCAAAATGTACGCCACAGAATTACTGTCATTCTTTCAGATCTATCATCTCCCTAAATTTAAAAAGAATTGGAAACTTCCTTTTTCTCCACTGAAAATTAGCACTGCCAGTAGACCATCTAGTAAACTTATTATATTAAATCTTTAATTCACATTTCTCAAGGTCACACTCTAGAAACTGCAGAGTACATGCACGTTGCAGTAGGACAACACCAACGTTAGGTAATAACAAATCCAAACTGTCACCATGTCTCAGATGCAGTAAATTGAAGAGGCAGAAGCTTCTGTTTGCTCCTGACAGTAACTCAGGAGGATCTTCTCTATTTCATCATTCTGGAGATCAGTGCAGGTTTTCTGTTCATTATGGGAGAACATTCTTGTTCTTACCCTGTCTTGACTGCATCCTGCCTCTCAGATCCTGAAAACATGGATAAGCTTATTTTTAGCAAGGACAGTTTGCTTAAAAAACCTCAACTGGCACTATTAGCTAAACTCTGTGCTCTAGGACTGGGACAAGCACTTTGAGATCTCATCAGTTTGGGTAGGTCCAAAAACTGGCAAAATAATTGTTCTGCATTTTCCAGGAATTCAGAATAATTTCCACGTGAATGAGGTTTAACTGAACTATCTCTGGATTCCTCACAGCTAGTTTCTGTCTCTCCACGTGAATTGTGGAGTTCTCCAAAGTCACAAAAATGTAAATTAATCCTGGGACAGAAAACTCTGGGTAGGTTTCTGTCTGAACCCATGAAAAAATGTGAAAAGTGCTTTAAGTAACAAAAAGTAACAAAAAGCTTTCTTACAGCAGGAACATAGCCACCTATCCCTTTATGGCTGCCTCTTCGTTAAATGCTGGGTGGTTGAGAGCTCTTTGCTACCTGGCAGCGCTGCTGAGCCACTTTTTCTCCCCTAAGGAAGAGGGCACACTGCACTTCTTGAGAAAGTCTAAAAATACATTTTCCTGGGGTTTGTAGTTGAGTTTGAATTGTAGGAAACATTCTACCAATGCTTTAAAATCACTGCTTGCCTTTCTCTTTTTTCTATCCTCAACACAGCCTGTATTTCATTCCTGTTTTACAGCTTCAGGACCATTTCACTGCCAGCTAAAAACATACGATGTGTTTACACTGGTCATTAAAACACTGCTCAGAGTATCCAAAATCTCAGTTTGTCAAGAGAGCATTAATCTGGTCAATTTTCCACCATGTATATGATCAAAAGAAGCAGAACTCTGCTACCCGTCATGCAAATAAAATTATGTGCACAAGGCACACTGTTAGCATTATCACCAGAGACATACTGTGTATTCCTCCTATAAGGCTATTTTAATGTTTCTGGTGTATCATACCTTTTTATAGACATGGTTGCTGATTTTAAAACAAAGCCATTTCTGTTAGCTTGCTAAAAAGCAAACCTAAAGCTTGGAAATATAACTTCTATTTCTGTGTACGCATTTTTGTCACAAATCCAAATTCTTTAGGGTACATTCCTTGGTATTCTGCAGATGAAAATGAGCCTGGTCTTTGCATGTTTTCAGCTGACTAGATGCAAATCTTTGAAGATGCTGAACCTACATAGCAATATTTAAGATGACATACTATTTGGAAAGCATGCAAGATTTATTAACCTGACCACAGCATCGTGTAAAATGTGGCTCTGCCATTTCTTATTTTATTCTGAGCATATCCAGATATGAAATATCCTGGATAGCTACATTTTGAAATCCCATTGTGACTATACAATGCTCAGAGAGAAGAAAGGCATAAACAAGTCCACTCTTAAGTCTCTCAGTTGTTGTCTGCTCAGTTTCTACAGTCAAATGACTTCTACAAAACAAGCAGCAGGATGAAGCTGCAGAACCTGGACCTGTTCCCTCCTTCTGGAGCACAGTAAAAGGCTGCAGTTACTGCTACCAAGAAGTACTGGAGATATATTTTGGAATTGTTTAGATGCTCATCCTGAATGCACCACAACATAAGGTAGATAGATATGTATAAACCTTTTTCTTGGAAGTAACCACTTTCAGATTAATAAAGAAGGTTTATATATATATATATATATATATATATATATATGTCAGTTTACTTCTGAACAGATGCTAGAAGAGCATCTTTTAAATCTGAGAAAATTTAAAACTAAAAGGGAAGACAGAAGATAATTTGAGGGTGTTCCAGTCCCAAGTGTCATAGCAGAGGCAGCTTTCACATCCAGTCTGGGTTTCAAACTCAGCACTCAGTGACTTTCCAAGTGCCCACACTGTCCTGTTTCAAACTTTAGGGAAGGATGATTTTTAACTCATCTCCTGTTTTAGCTGCGATTTTGATGTTGTTCCCTTCAGGAGCCACCCACTCTTGTTTTCTGTGCTATTTCCTTGCTGGATCTTCCATTTACCTTTCTGTCTGCCTTGTTCTTCAGCTGTGAATCCTCCCTTTTCTTATCGGTCCAGGAATTTCTGGGGAAGGTGGCAACTCCAGAAGGCAAAAGAAGATCTAGTGTGTAAAGCTAGGACAGGGCAAGGAGACTTCCTTTCCTCTGACCTGCCACACACTTTTGAAAGAAATTAAGATAAACTTCTGGCACAATGATATACTCCCCATATACCCCAAAAAATCCTCTAAATTTTATCACAATTCACCTTTAAAATAAATATAAAAGAGAAGAAAAAAAAAATTTCAAAAAGACATCTAAAATGATACAAAATCACAACAAAGCTTAATGTAGTCGAGCAAATGTGCCATGACAGTATGTTCTGGTACATCCAAGAGATTCCTTCTCAGCTGGAGCCCAGAACAAATGGAGTTAATAGGCAGGCAGTAAAAGCAGAAGATGACTCCTTTCCAAGCATCATTGCATTCCTCCTCTCTCCCACACACATGCAGTCTAAAGCAGTGACTCCTGGGTTGTGCTCATGTCAGGCTCTGCAGGTCTTGAAGCTTGCATGACTGCACGTCCCACACATGACATCAAGTCCCTGGTGCACAGGACATTTCCTGTGTGCCTCATTCAGCATTTCAGTGGTGCCTACTCAGCATTTGACACATCAATGTCCTGCTGAGTGCTCTGTTCATGTCACCTGGAGCGAGTTCTAGGTCATACCACCAGGGCAAGTCATCTACACCAAGCCCTACGGCTCTGGGCCTCAGACAAAAGAAACAAACCCAAATAAAGCCTTCAAACTTATTGAAAACTACCTCAGATTTTACCAGGTGTAAGGATAAGGTCTTAAGAACAATGTTCCATGAATAGAAGAGAGCTCATCTGTTTAAACAGCTATGTTTGAGAAAACTTCTTTTTAAACTGTGTGACTGGGGACATGACTAAGAAGAGACTGAGGTCCTGCTTCACACATCTTGGTAAATTTTCTCACCTCTATTATGACCAAAGCAAAGCTATCCAGGGCTGAAAATAATGTACCTGGTGGATGTGGGCTCATCCTTGCTGCTGGAACAAGCCCTGAGGGGCAAGACTAAATACTCTGCATGTAGAACTGAGCAGGTATCCACACACACAGACCTGCCTGGCTTCAGGCACAGGTTTGCTGCAGTTCTGCCGGCCCCTGGCACTGACTGAGCACAAACACCACTGCCTGCTCCCTGTCAGTCATACCTAAAGAGAATTTGGCTTGTTTAATATAGAATAACAAAAGCCAAGAGAACATTTGTCTTCTAAATATATAAACTATGTAAACTCTGAGGACAAACATCTGCTTAAGTTTAAAGTTGACCTTTGATCAGAGACAGGCATAGTCTGGGCTCAGATAAACTTGGATATAAACACGTGCACAGTGAGGGTCTGAACCAACCTTTTGGCGGGAATTGCAGGCAGCTGTGGAGGGGAAGGCAGGAGAGCACAAGAGGAGGACAAAGCTTCTTTATGGACTGTAATTAGGGGTGAATCAAAAGCTGTGAAGGAAAAACAAACAAACAAACCAAACCAATGGGAAAACCAAGAAACTAAAAAAATATGGTAATTGTTTAACTAACAGAATAATAGCCTATAAACTGTTTACAGTCTGCCTGCTATAACAGAAATATTTTGCTGGGATTGAAACCCTAAAAAGTCAGAGAGACACAGAACTGGTGAGTGCATAAATGTCAGTGTAAGAGGGTGAGGATCCAATGACTGTGCAGAGAAGAGGTTACTCACATGCTGCTGCCACTCAGGAAAAAGTAAAGCTTATTTGGCTAAGAGGTAAAGATGGTGTTTTCTGTGTACACATGATGGCATCAATGATGTCACTATTCTGAAATCTTTGCTTCCTTTGGTTTTTCAAGGTTCCATTGCCTTGAAAAAAATCAGTGGTTAGTTTATGATTTATTAGGTTGGGTTGGGATTTGGGGGTTTGGTGGGGTTTGTTTGGTTGGTTGGTTTCAGTTTTGTTATGTTGTTGCTATTGGTTTTTTGAGGTAAAATCTTGAGTTTTATTGTGTGAGAGAAATAAATCAGCTAGGGCAACAGCAGAGCTACTCTGAGCATCTTGTCCTCCCTTATAGTTTTGAGGAGCAGTCAGGAATATCACCATCTCTCTCCCAAAGTCAGGACATACACAGGGAAAGAAATTCAGTGGGGATAAATATAGGGAAGGGATAGCTTCTGCTATTCCTGTTAAGATTTTACTTGTTTTGTACTTATTTTTGCTGGTGGTGAGTTTTGAGGTTTGCTGCTTGGGATTTTCTTTTTCTCTTTGTCTTCTTGATGTAGCTGCACCTAAGGAGTGGCTGCAAAAATGAGCGAAGGTGTAACCTCTGTAGATTTAGCTGTAGAGTTACCTCTGAATGCCTCCAGGACATCCCAAAAATCCGCCTATGTAGGCAGATCCTCAGTGACGTACACTGTATTTGGCCTTTCTGTGGTGGAAAGATAAACACTTTCAGTCCTTTTGACTTCTGCAGTTAACCCAGTGCTTCCTAGATGGTAGTGTTTGTTAGTTTTTTTTTTTTTTTTCCTGAAATATCACAGACATTATGTATGTCTGTGATAAAATATATTACCCTTGACTGGTTAAGTGGTGCCCTCTGATTCTCTGTATAGATGTATCATGTCATTCAACCACCAGGTACTGAAGGTAGTGCTCAGATATTAGAATGGTAGGGAACCTAAATATCTAGAGAGATCCCTGATAAATGATACACTCTGCAGACAAACCTCTGCCAAATTCTATTCAAATAGCACAGGGATAATGTGAATATGACTCTAATGAAGGAAGGCTGGAGTTGCCATAATGCATGCAGGTGCAATTGCTCCAAATCTCTCTTAAAATCCATTTTCCTGCCAGTGCTCATTCTTCCTTTAAACAGAAGTTAATACTCTGCTGACATTACTGAACTCCATCATGCTCATTATCTCAGGCTAGCATTTAGATCAGGTTTTTGGAGGTGAAAGACCAATTCATTAACTCTATTGTGTCACTCAATGACTTCCTGTGGAGAGATCATAAGTCAGATGGGGGTGTCACTGCTGGAAGATAAAAGAGAGCTATAAAGTAGGAAGACAACTGGTATAATTCACAAAAATGAGGAAAAAAATTATTCTATGGCCTTTAATTTCTATTCATAGTTCATTTTTAAGTGTGTTATTTAGATAACAGTGCATCTGAGTTGGTTTTTTTTATGAGTTTCAGATATGGTATGAAAGAGGTTATTGGTTGGTTATTTGTTTTTTATTTAAAGGAGAAAATTAATATAGGCAACAAGTAACACAGAAATCCCTGTTGAAAAAAAAAAAAAAAGCATGCTTTAAAGCCTATCATGTTGAAATGCTGACATATGTCAGCCATTTGTCTTGGCTTAAAGGGGAAAAAATGAGTGTTTGGAAAATTATTACTTTATCAAAAATAAAGTATTATGAAATTGCCTTAATTGTAGATAAATAAAGAAATGGCTGCCAGGAATCAAAATTCACTTATTTGATTAAAATAAAATAAAATCTCCATACTGTTTCTCAAGGTTAAGGACAATGTTTATTTTTAGAGTGCTATCTGGTGTATTGTAAAATAATTTTTTTCTCTCTGAAAGAGAGATTCTCTCTGAAAGAATTGTCTAGGATTCTTAAATAGAAACTGCTACTACTTATGACTGAACATGAAGTTTCTCAGTTTGCACATGGAAAGTAAACAAGCAAAAAATACTTGTGTTTTTAATTGAGATTTTGGTAGAAAAATTTGAAATACGAGACTTTGCCAGTTAACAACTACTTAATGTGAAGAAGCGGAGTCAAATAAGGAACGCCTTTGCCACAGAGCTTTGCAGCCTCTATTCAGCTTCCCTCTACCTGTTCAATAAAACTGAGGGACATCATAGAACCCTAGAATGGTTTGGCTTTGAAGAGACCTTAAAGATCATCTGGTTCCTTGCCATTGAAAAAACACACTCCACTAGGCCAGGTTGCTCAGAGCCCCAGCCCCATCCAACCTGGCCTTGAACACTCCCAGGGATGTGGCATCCACAGCTTCTCTGGGAGAAGCTGGACAACCTGTTCCAGTGCCTCAGCATCCTCACAGTAAAGATTTTCTCCCAGATACCTGATCTAAACCTACTATCTTGCAGTTTAAAGTCATTTTCCCTTCTCTTATCACTACCAGACCTTGTAAAAAGTCCCTCTCCAGATCTCTGCAGGCCCCCTGTTGGCAGTGGAAGGCTGCTCTAATGTCTGCCAGAGCTCTCTGTTTTGCAGGCTGAAGAGTCCCAAACTTCTCAGCCTTTTCTCACAGGACGATCCTTGGCAGGACTCTCTCCTGCCAGGCTGCAGAAAGCCTGCGGGAGATGTGGGATCGGTGGGAGGTGGGTTGGGGCGGGCACTGCAGTACCCAGGGAAAGAGTTCTGGTAAAAAAATGCCAACATCAAAACATCTGAACATATCCTAGAATGTTCTGGTGCTTCACTACCTTTTGGTAAACTCCCTTCTTCAGCTGATGGCACCGCGATTTCCAGCAAGTAAAACAGGCCGAGGGCTGGGAGCAAACACAAAACCAGCAGCGGGTATCAGTCACTGCATGAGCAGCAACAGCACCACTCTTACAACTTTTAAGGTCTTGAGTTATCAAAAAAACCCCACGACTTGGGAAATCTAAGATCTTCAGTTCATAATGTACTCACAGAATGGGTCATCAGGTCCAACCTCCCTGCTCAAGCAATCTTGTTCTAGAGCACGTGGCACAGGCTTGTGTGCAGATGGTTCTTGCTTATGCCTGGTGAGGGAGACTCCACAGCCTCTCTGGGCGATCTGCTGCATTGAATGGTTGCTCTCACAGTAAAGTTCTTCCTCATATTCAGGTGGAAATTTCTGAGCATCGGTTTCTGCTCATTGTCTCTTGTCCTATTGCTTGGTATCACTGAGAAGAGCCTGGCTCCATTCTCATCATTCTCCCTTCAGATATTTACACATTGATGAGGTGCTCAAACCCTCTTGTTCTAATAAATCCTGGGATTTCTTTTTGTATTTTTCACTTCATATTCATTATTGATAAAAATTAGTTTCCAAGCAGTTTCCAAGCTGTACATAAAAGAAGAAGCAAGTTTTCCTTTCTCCTAGCTGGTTTGGAAACAGCTAGCTTCTCCTCTTCACCCTGTCCCCATTTCAGCTGATTCTCTTTAATGCTAAAATATTCCTACCTTAAGTGAGAATCCCTTTCTCAGATCCTTTACAAATGAAAACTACAGTTGAAAAAAAAAAAACCAGCAAAAATGAATTCTAAACTAGTATCAATCTTCCTATTATGAATGCAGTTCTTTATTGATCAATTTGGTTCCTCATACTCTGTTGTCTGGAAGCATCCTTTGTTCTATTTTTCATCTGAATTGAAGCACTCTTCACAAAAATTTTCTTTACATTTCATTCATGTTATTTCTCCTGTCTCCCCTCCCCACACGCTGCAACTTTAAGCTGCACTCATTAGAAATATTTTATGATATTAACAGACTGGTTGATTTTTTTTTCATCAGGTAGCAGTTCAGTAATTGTAAACCTAAGAGTCACTTAATATGAAGATCACTGAAAATCATAAATCATTTTCTTCTTGACCTTTTCCACCAAAACATTAGCTTCTGAGTCAGCCTGCTTTGAAGATACAGAAGCACTACATATTGTTATGTTGGTTTCTGACTTCAAGCAAATCTTTTCTTTCATTTCCTCCTATTTTTAGCATCTGAAGGCTGAAATTTTACAATATGCTATTGCTCTTTTTTTTTTTTCCCCAGGAACAAATGTCAGCACATCAAAAGCTCACTGCTTTTAGTATGTGTCACTTGAGATCACTGGGAAAAAATACTTTGGAAGCCTCCTTATTGAATCATTAACCGTGGGCACTACTATAAATAGTTTTCACAAAAGTTCTAGGATCAGTTATTTCAGCATCACTTCACTGCTAAGTAAAATTCATAAAGACTCTCAACCTTGAATATGGGGACAAAAACAACATTATCCCTAAAGGTGAAGAGGTATGCAATCAAAATATTTTTCTTATATGTAGCTTTTGTATGTGTTTTGGTATATACCCTGTGGTATCCCAAAATTTTCTATCACTTATGTATTATTTGCAATGAAAATAACTGTACAAATCTCATACACATATACTTGAGTTGTTCACCTCGTCTCTCTGTTTAGATGCCAGTCTTAAATCTTCCAGACCTGAAATGCTTTCTGCAGCAACCCAGTCCTCTCAGACAACCATACAATAGTTGCTTCTTAGGAAAAGAACTTTGAATTTCTAGGGAAATGGTTCATACCATCTTTCTGATCTACAGTTATTGAGGCGAGGGGGTTGTGGGGTCACTGCAAACACATTTGACACATCCAGACAAAGGCCATAGTTACTCCTGTTGCCTTTGGTGTACTGCCACAGAAATTTACCTTCAGTGTATGCAGATAGTTATGTCATGGTCCTATAGCTGTGGCTGTGGACAGGGTCAATCTCCTCATGGCATATACAGCTACGACTCCTATACAGCCTGCAACACCAAGAATTTATTAAAAAGTTAGAAGGATTCTTATTTTTTCTTGATAATCAATTAGCTTTCCTGCCACCTGGCCAGAGGTGTTCACTGAGCACTCAGAGGCATTCACTGAATTTAACGAATCTCTGAGAGAGGTGTGATAAGCAGAAAGACTTTGATATATTTGGCAGGAGCAACCAATACAGGTTTTCCAGGATGCTGTTCAATTTACCATTCATCAAGTTTGTATCTAAAGCAACAAGGAAATCAAATACGCTAAACATCTAAAACAGGGCTACTAAATTGCCACCTAGTGGTCTTGTAATGAAGCTAAAATCTCCAGCCTGCTGATCTGGCTGAAAAAATATTGGTGGGAGTTTTGTATTTTTGTCAGGGTCCTAGTGTGGGTGTTCACTGATGCCTGGCACATAGCATGACTGAAGCAGAGGAGTGTCAGGGCACAACTTCCAGGCCAATACAAGACAGAACCATTGGAACTCTTGGGGTACCAGGGGCAGCTTGTACAGGACACAGGATACCAAAATGGAGTTTCTGAGCCAATCAGTCATCCTGTGCATAGGGTAAAAAATGCTGCCAGGTAGGAGCCCTAGTCTATTATCTGTACCACGTGTTACCTTTTCCTTTCAAACAAAACAAATAAACAAACAAAAGTAAATAATTTTAAATAAAAGGTTTTCTGACTATTGGTACAATAGTTAGGAATTTTCTTCTTCTGAGCCTCAATAAGATCCAGAGAGATGGTTGTGGCCTTTCAGTGCCTACAGAGGCTATGCAATAAAACTGGAGAGGACAATGGAGGGACAGGAGAAGGGACAACAGCTTTAAACTGAAAGTAGGTTTAGGTGAGATATTAATAAGAAATTCTCTACTGTGAGGATGGTGAGGCACTGGAAAAAGTTGCCCAGAGAAACTGTTGATGCTCCATCTCTGAAAGTGTTCAGGACTGGGCTGGACAGGGCTGTGAGCAACCTGATCTATTGGAAGGTGGCAGAGGGGTTGGAAGTAGATGATCTTTAAGGTTCCTTCAAAGACAAACCATCCTATGGTTCTCTGATGATTCCAGAGGCGGAAGCACTTTGCTCTGCTGGGGTGTTCCCCCAAATTCTAGTCTCACTCTGCCTGAGCCATATGTTCATCAGCATGTGCTGTTTACACAGAACCAAGCAGATGAGAAACAATAAAGAAGCACAAGTGGAACAAGTAAGTTTTGCAGTTCTGCTTTTGTGATTGGTCTGCCCAGAAGCAACTAAGAGAGGCTAAAAATAATTTTCAACATGATGAACTGCATAAGCAAATTCCCTGGGGATTAATGCATCCTCTATAATTTTACCAATAATCGGGTGGGGGAGCACTGGATTGACAAAGCTGATGCTCACAGGAGGTGGCGGAGGCAGAGGCCTCGTGTTAGAAAGCGTCCTGGAGCGGGGGCTGCTGGCTACATCTCTGGGAGGACACATCAGTTGTTTCACAAATAAGTCAGAGACAAGTCAGTCCATGGCAGCAGAATCCAAATGATTCATCTCCCTCCTCCATCCTGTCACCTACTGGGACCTAGTACAGTTAGTAGCTGAAGGAAAAACATCAGCCCTGAAAGAAAGACTGAAAACCCTTATTGCACTTTTATTGAGCTACTAGGTAGAAAAAGTGTCCCCTGACACCTTTATAGCTTTGGTCTGAGGATGCTGCATGAAAGTTTAACCCTGGCCAAAACACATCCCCTTGCAGATCACTTGTAGATCAATACCTTGATTCAGGTATTGGCAGTTCTTGTGTCTTCTCTCCTCTTGGGATGAACTGAGAGCCCTGCAAGCAAAGGTCGTTGCTTCCCACAGAATATGAGATGAGGTCAGGAAAACTAGATGAAGAAGAGAAAATAAACATGGCTGAGGTAAAGAGTAGGACTATTGCTATTGGGTAGCAATAAAAATAATCAATTGTTGACATGAATATTGTCTTCCTACACTTCAGATTTTGTGACTTAATTACAACTCACCATATAAAGCACCCTATATAGTTGTAGTTTTCCTTTCATATCACTTTTGGCCTGGTTGACATTAATCTTTTTAAAATAAATCAATTTTTATTCGTGGGCATTTTCCCCATCCTTTTTTTTTTTTTTTTTTTTTTTTTTTTTTTTTTTTTTTGCATGCACCTGTAGTAATCTTGTTTCACGTTGTACTTTGTTCTTCTCCAGGGAAATCTGCACCTTGTTTATCTATGTTTCACAGATTTGATTTGCACACTGTTTAGTTTTAAACAAGTATCTATGGTTATACTAGTTGTGTCTGACCTCACTCCATATTTTAGTAAATTAAGTTCGCTCTAGAGTGAATAGCTATCTAAACTGATTTACTTCTTTTTTACTACCTAGTATAATAAAAAGGCACTCAATTAAAAGCTAGTTTACTCCTTAATGTACTCTAGGTGATTTGATCTTTAAGAAGTGTACAATATAAGGTGAAAGATAATCAATACAGTACTGTCTGAGCAATTGCAGATATACTGCATACCTGTTGTCAATAAAATTATCCAGGGACAGAATGCCCTATAAATGCAACCAGCTTTTTCAAAAAATAAATGCTGTGCTCCAAACCTGAGAAGCTGGTAAGCCACAAAATAGAATCCACATGACAATTACTCATTTGAACTTTAATGTGTGCCATGAGTTTCTGTCTCCCTTAACCTTTTCTGAGTTAGCCTCTTTAGGGCTTATTAAGACAGCCTTTGACTAAGGTATTTACCATACCATCATTCTATCAATATTTTGCTATCCCAGTATCTTCCTAAGTTTTCCAACTCTGTTCAAATTGCTGTGCCAAATGGCATCCACATAACTCTGGAAGACATGCCATTGATTTCTGTGGCATCATGCCTTTTACTTGATGTTTATACATTTACAAAATCACTGAAGGCTTTCAGGAGGAAGAAAGCATCATCCAGTGTTACTGTGCCAGCACTGAGTAAGAAGAACTATTCAGTTGTCACATGTAGGGAACATACAGTGAGAACTTCTGTGTGTTGGCTCTGAAATTGTACACTGTCTGTCTTGTCTTCATCTTATTGGCTATGCAGTTTTTATTCTGCTCAGAGCAGTCAGACTGAACTTGTGCCTCCCCTAAAATACCTGAAGATGTGCTGTAAGGGGCAAGCTATCTACACTTATTGCAGACAGCCACATTAACCTTCTAAAAATTGAAGGACAGTCAAGCACTTAAAAATGGACCATAGTTTTCTCAGCCAGTTGACATATCTCAGGTTAAATGACAAAACAGGGCTTTCACAGAAATTTCTTTGAGAGATCTTAAAAGACATAAGCAGGGTAACAGAACAGTCATGATCTGAAAAATAATAATATAGTTCTCTGAATACATGGAACAGTATTCAGTCAAAGGGATGTAAAAGTTGAAGTAAGTTGAAAATTGTGGGATTTTTAAACAATTTTAAATCAAAATTGTGAGTGAAACAAGCCTGACCTTTTACAAAGCAAAGTTGCTTTTATTTATTCTTTGTTTAGTTCCACTTTGCATGTGTGTTTGTCATCTCCAGGAATAAAAACACTGAAGTCAATTCCCTTCTGCCTTTCTTTATATGGAGCTGGTATTTATAATGAGCCTCCAGTCAGCTCTGTCATATTAAAATGAACTTTCTGAATTATTGTTGTTTGCCTGATTTCATAATCAGCCCTTTGCAACCCACAACACTGTCACTAGCAATCTAACCAAAGGCAAAATTTTCTTTAATGTCTAGATCAGTTTATGTTGACTAATCTCAACACCTTTCAGCAGCAGTAATATTTAAATACAGCTGGAGTAGAACAAAACAGAATGCCTGGATTTTTGAGAAACCTCATACATCCATGCTTCTTTCCTTCCTGCTGGAATTGTGTAAATTATAAATGTGGGGGGCTCTTTTTCTTCTTTTTCTATGTCTTGCTAATAGTTGGTGTTTTGCCTTGGGTGTAAAGGTTAAAAACTTTGAAGGTTGATGGTCTTTGCTGTAGGAAAGTGATTTCTCCATTAGAAAGCCATTAGCTTTATAAAGCTATATAAATACTTGGGTGAAAAAAATTATTTATTTTTCTAGCATGTATATCTCTGTTATCCTTTTTGACAGATAGAGAAAAAAAACTACTGTCGTTTGGAACACTGAAGGAATAAACCAGTCAGAGATAGTACCTTTATTGCAGCTTGAAGTCCATTTCCAGTTACCACTTCATATAATTTTCTTCACTTTTTTCCCATTACTATTTCTATTTACAGTTTTTCAGAAAAGACAGTGTCAGGTAGATAGGTTTGGGGGAAGGTGGGGATGGACAACAGGGGAAGAGATTGCCTATATCCATTCTCTATTCATCATCTTTTCAATAATCTTTTCATCTCCTAAAAAAAATTGAAATCTTCACAAAATCACAAGCTAGATTACTCTTCTTCCCATGTGTTTACCTGTTGGGATAAAGAAATATTTACACCACCTGATTCCAATAACTGTGCTAAAAAAAGACTGATACAGATTCACAACGGTGATTTTAATAAAATGTATCAGTGTATAAGGCACTAATAAGGTCTAGAAAATAATTTTAAAAATTTCTTATCTCTGTCAGCAACAGAACTGTTCGATTTCTATGCTCCAGGTTGAGATGAACTTTGAAAAAATGCTAAAGACAGGCCCTTGTTTTTCCAGTCCTTTAACTTGCATAAAGCGCGGGCGCCAGCAGAGGGCATGCCACGCCTCGATAAAATGCAGATATGTAAACAATTCCAAAGCAAGCAGAAGTAATTCCTCTAATCTTCTTAAAATATTGCACATTTCTTATTACTAATCAAAAGCCTACCCCAAACTGAACAATCCCAAGTGCAGAATCTATCAGGTATTTCTCAACTGCTCTTTCATTCCAATAGCCCCTTTTCTGGGAAAAATAATAAATTAATTAGTTCTCACATGTAAACAAAGATGGAAACTAAACTATTAGAACTTAAGATGGTTTTTTCCCTTCACAACAAATTAATATGATGGAAAACATGTTGATTTATCAGATATTAATTGCATAGTTTTAGGTTTCATTTCTCCTATTGTTTAGCTAACACACTGCAGACTTCTTCCAGTGAGGGTTTATGTGGATTTTGCCTTACTAGTGTCAAGTAATACTGAATTCCATCAGATGAGAAGCCAGCCTTTTGCATATTATTAGTTAGAGAAATATAGCATAGCTGGAAGCACATTTATCCTTTAAAATTTTTATTAGAAAAATATGCTTTCATTTTACCAGTCTGCAATCTTGTATAAGGATTCTGAACGTGTTTTCCATCTCAAAGAACTTAACATGTAGACAGCCTCTAAATTGATATCTATAAATTCTAATTTTCTGTAAATCAAGCAAAATGAATGCTGTCACTAAAACTGAAAGAAAATTACTCTGGAAAAGACAAAGAAAACAGCATTTCCTATACTGTGCAGCTTTTCATTGCAATTGGCTTAATGTTCTCTTTTTTTTTTCAGTCCTATAATTTTAGCAGCACTTGTAATGATCCCTTAGCTTCACATATGAACACAACTTTATTGTCCATCTTGAGATTCAAAACTAAGTTATCTCACAAACTCTTTTTTAACAAGCTATGTCTTGCTACTTCCTAATATTATTGCATTTCTGTTCTTCAGATAGAAGCAGGGTCTTCAGGGAAAGCAATACAACAGGAGAGTTCACATACTAATGTATCAATGCATAATTATATGTTTTATGTGTCACCAGATAGCCAGTTCTTCAGTGTAGCATACTAGCAATTTTCTAGAATGTTCTTTTAAAAAAAAGAAATGTGAGTAAACAATCTTTTTTCTTTTTAAATTTGACCTATCAGACAAAGTGTGGAATCATCTGTATTTCTGAAATGCAGTAAAATGAATGATTAATGAATAAACTATGTAAAATAATACATTTCTTTTTACAAACATACTGAATTATCATTGAGGTAATTGATCAAAATAAAAACATCTAAGATGTGGAAAAGTCATCAAATAGTAAGAATGGAACATATTTTCTTCAGCACAACACTTATTTTTACATAAGAATGTAAAGAATATAGCAGACCAAGATCTTCACATTATACAAAGCATCCAGCTTTTCAGGTTTGTAGATAAGTACCTAACTTCAGATGTCAGAATGTAAACATAACGTAATATTTATTTGTGTGTTTACAAGGCAAGGGTGTGCAGTGCCTTAAATCTATTCCTTGGTTAGCAGAAGCCCATTGGCTCATTTTCAAAGTGGTTTTCAGACTATCATTACAGGGTAGGATGCACTCGCCTGCCTGCTCATCCAGGGTGAGTTCGCTTCCTTACCTGAACAGTCAATTACTAGCTTATAATAATATCTATATCAGAATTCTACAATTTGAAAGTACAATGTTTACATGTAAGTCCAGTCCTAAAATTAAAATATTATTTCATTCTGCTTCAGTGAATCAGAGCAAAAATGCCCTCCCAAGAGAAGGATAAATGCCCAGAGGCATGTACACAAATGACTCACTGACACTTTCTATACATTTTCCTCCTGGTTGTTTCAGAACTCAGCAAAACACCTTATTGGTCAAAGATGAGAGAAGTCCTTGTCCAGCTAAGCCTAAAATGATCTCAAATTTCAGCATTATCTGGGCTGCTCTATGAACAGGAAGGACTGTGCTAGGAAGCAAAGGCTAATTTTTCTGAAAAGCAGATATCTTGATAGGCAGAATATATATTAACTGGAAATTATGGGGCAATGTTAATTCAAACTCTAAGGTTAGTAAGGACAGTATTTGTGCTGTGAAAGTCTCTAACATAAAGAAAAAGTTAAAAAGTTCTTTGAATTTAACCACACTGATTTTTACCCACAAAGCCTGTAAGTTGCTGACCTAGAACTTGGCTCAAAGCCCATTTCTGGATATGGGCCCTGCAGTCCCTTGCTATGGTGCTATAAAAACTTACACAGGTGCTCTGAAATTTGAGCTATCAAAGTCAAGGAGACTGCTCTCCGGAATTAAAACAAACTCTCTTCTGCTTCAGGTTGGAAGGAATGGGTGGCACAATACTTTTAAAATACCTTGAATTTCTTACTACTTTTGCTGACACTTTTTTTTTTTTTTTTTTTTTTTTTATACCAGCTGTTTATCACAAACACAGGGTAACCCAGCTGGGATGCAAAGAGATTAATTTGCCTCAAGTGAGCCAGACATTCTTAAGTAAAAACTTCTGCAGACATTATAAGGAAAGATTATGGATGCATCCATATTTTAAGCAGTAATTAACTAACTGAAAAGTTATGCTCTCTAGCCAAAAGGTTGGCTTTCAACAAATGTTTTGAATCGTTATGGTTACTACATGCTTATTGGAGCTATGATTTCTGAATGTGTTTGGGGTGGCTTTGTTTGTCTTTCATGTAACTGTTTGTTGGTTTTTTTTTTTTTTTTTCTTTTTGAAAACAATAGAGTGTTTTCAATCTAGGCAGGTTTTTTTTTTTTAGAGAGTTGCTAAAAGTCATCCTAGATTACAGCAAAGCCTGAAAAAAAGAGAAATTAAGCCTCAATCAAAAGAGGGAAAATATGTTGCCCCAAAGAATAAAAAGTACAGGTCAATGGCAACAGCTGGAAGGAGACAAAAAAAGAGCAAGAGAAGGGAAGTCTCATGGTGAAGAAGAGATGCCACTGCAACAACTTGTAAACAAGGATTTTAATCATGTTTGCTATTTCATTAGCATTTGAACAATTTGGATTGAAATATGAAAGATGGTTTTATTTCCCTTCTCCTTTATGCAGGCCCTGGACAGATTTAAGCAAACCACTTCTCATCTGAATTATGAGGATAACAATAACATTTCTCTGTCTCAAAGGGCTGATTAGGAAAATAAATTAGATGCTCAGATGTTATAGCAATGAATCCCAGTAAATTAAAGAAAAATTTTCAAAACAAAATAACCACATTTACATTATTTTTTAGATACCTTGATTTCAAAAATTTTTTTGGAAATCATAAGCTGTTTGTATGTAAGCAAGGAATTTCTGGATGGTTAACCTCAGAAATGTTTAGAATGCTTATTGGGAAATATTTCAGCTAGTTGACAGCAGAACAGATAAAGAGGAGACTACTAAATTATTAAATGACCTACACTACAGCTTTGTATATGCAGTTTTACAGCTGGAGGAGAAGTGACTGCTATAATGCTTAGTTTGGTGTCTTCAAAATGTCTACAGTGAGGCTCTGGTTTGAAAAGTGATTATGTAAAAATAGCACTTCCTACTCAGCAGATCTGTTCTTGTATGCTTTAGTAGAGAGAGAGAAAAAAATCCAAAAAAACAAACCACTGCATGTCTTCACTGCTGAGCCACCATATATCTGGGGGTGGGGGGAAAGAAACTGCATTATACTCTAGTTTATGCAACTTCATCAAAATCACCAATTTAAAGCTATAATGTACCTAAGCAAAACCCATCATTTTAAAATTGTGCCCTTTAAAATCAGACCTGCATAACCTCATTACCTTCATCTGAATGGAAATGAATGAAATGAAAGGAAATAAACCCTTCAGATTGAAAAATCATGATTGGATTTCCTCCAGCTTCCTATCATCACCCAAACTAATCAAGCTATTTTCTCCCCAGGTGGAAAATGAAAGAAAGAGAGAGGTGATGATGATTCTTTTTTTAAATATTTGGCAGGTAATCTCAGAGCATGAAGCCCATGTAAGTTTCAAGAGGTTACATGAGGACTACAGAAGGCTAATACTATCATAACAGCTGCTAGCACAGGGATGTAAGCAATGTAAAAGTCAGATTCACGCCGTTTGGCCAGCCTGTTTCCAGGGTTGTCAGACTCCTAAGTGATGGAGTGGGATTTGCCACTATCAGCTGCTTCCAAAGGATCAGTATGTCATAGCAAACACTCCTTTTTAAGCTTTTCAGAATAAGTCTTCTATGTCAGTATGATTTTTTTCCTGAAGAAGAGCAGATGAAGAGGCTCTTATAAAAGGAAAAAAAACCCCATAAAATTCTGAACACGGAAAAAATATATACTTAGTATCTGTCTAGAGATTTGAAAGGATACTTTGATCATTCTTGCCAATTACATACCTGTTAGAGGCGAGTACATTTACATATTTAATATTCAGCTAATCTCCAAAAACTTTGATCAAAAAGACATGCAATTTATCCTCAAACACTGTGCCAAAATTTCATCTCTAGATAGCCTAATGTGTGAAGTGATGAATTTGTTTTCAAGTCTTTTACAGAATGCCTTCCATTTTTCACTTCAGATTAAAACACCTACCCTTTTAACAAGTGCACTGCTTCTCCTGAACACTATCTTTAAATATAAAAGGAATCATAGCACAATGGCTCCCTCAGGGCTTTGCCTTTTGACATTTCTCTAAGAAAACATCTCAGAAAGAAAACTAATGGCATTATGCTTGCAGACACAATCCTTTTCTAAATGAACAGAAATGTCTACATATTTCTTCTCATCTGTGACACATTTTAGTGTGCCTCATAGACAGAAATCCTGAGTGACCTTCGTTAAGTGCCTGGACAAGAAGCCTGACTAGCTCTAGAACTGCAAGTTCTGAATGTGGGCTTGTGCATTAATGGAAAATGGAAAGGTTACCACATAAGTTTGCAGAAAAACCCAACATCAATTCTGACAGAAGACTGTCCAGCAGCAGAGGTTTTCCAACACCCTCTGGACTCGGGTCTGTTTTGTTAGATGTAGATACAACAAATCCCAATAGAAAGTGTCATTTTTTAGTTTATTAAATAGTGTTCTTATAGACAGCATCATTTCCAAGCAATGTCTAACCTTGTAATTCTTTTCTTTGTCTGTACCAAGATTTCTCCTAAATCTCTTAAAACATCTCTTTCCCAAAATAAGAATCCTCCCAAGAGTGCTTTATTCAACAGAGAGAGATATGCAAATGCAACATCACAATTCCCTTATTGATTAAGAATGAAGCATTTGCTTTGAACTGCAGACTGCATCTTGGAGATGTTTCAAGCACAGTCTACATTTTTACTGAAGTACCAGGCATTCCTCTCCTTACAGTGCCAAGGATTCTAACAGTAGGGAGTTAACATCTCTAGCAAGTAAGATATATAGTCTGGTAACAAAACTCTAATATATCTGGAGCCAGTGCCAGAACAGCACTACTTGTTTACAGTCCTAAAACTGAACTACCATGAAACAGTCTCTCATGAAAACATAAGTTAAAAAAAGATTTTATTTTCAAGTCTTACCTGAATTACTCTAGTATTTAATCAAAATATTCCTCAGTGTTGCCACTTTCGGAGCCGGTGTAGGAATGAAACTCTGCAGGGAGGCAGCTCTGACTCTTCCTTGCACCATGGGAAGGTGAGGTCCATTCTGGCAGTGTGTGCCTCACTAGTGGCATTTGAGGCTTGAAGAAAGAACTGATGTTGTACAATTGTTTTCAGTGTTCAAGGTGCAACTGGACAGACTTATTCAAGCATGGACTACAGAGCTCGCTAACCTACAAGATGAAAAATAGGCAGTTAAGAATGTGTGAGCAAACCATTTTATTACAGAAGAAATTGTCTTTCATAGAGTGTAGCAACATTTTTATCCTCATCTATCACAAATATTTTGAAGGTCTTAAAGCATTTTTTCTTACCAGTTATTCGATCAGTAAACAGGAGAGCTTACTACAAGGATATAAACAACAGTCTTTAAAAATTACAAAGATAAAAATAGCCTTTAGCAAGAACACTATTTTTCTTTCCCCATCACTAGATTTGTTACTTTTTTTTCCCCTTTAGTCATAAGACTCATTTTCTTTGCAAATGTTTTTTCTACCTGAGACAAATTTGTAAAAACTGATTTACTGAGAAGAATTCTGACACTTTCCTGGCAACTTGCAGTGATGCCTGGTGAAAACAGCTAAATTTTGCTGTAGATGAAAATTGCAAAAACTCATGAAAACAGCTTTTGAACTCATCCAAATGTGATCTCCCTAAAGAAAAATTTAAATAGAAATGTCAGGATTGTAGTTTTTAACTCACTTCAGGAACCCTATTTGGTATACTGGCTATACAGCTATATTAAAGCTGCTTTTGTTTTGGTTGGATTTTTCCCCAAAGGAAAAAAAAAAAAACAAACAAAAAACCAAACAAAACACTGTAAGACTTATTTTTCTTGTAAAGTTGCCTAGAGTGAATATCTCATACAATTTTGCCAGGAGACTGTTTTGCTTCTAGAAATTTAACCTTGAAGTCCACAAAATCTGATAAAAGCTATCAAAGAATAAAAAAAAAATAAATGCTTGGTGTCCCTGTTTTGTCCAACTCCCCATAATCAGACACAAACAAGTAAAAGTGGGCCCAAAGAAAAGCCAAGAGCTCTGTCCCTGCATGCCATAAATCAGAGATCACTCTTGTTTGCCTTGAGAAAAATGTAAGGCTTGTAGTGCAAAAGCTACTAGAGGACACCACCAGTATTTCAGGTTCCCTACAACAGCAGGAAACTTGCTCTGCTTAAGGGAACCCAGAAGTACCACAGCCTAGGTATTTCTCCTGTACAATGACATTTTGGATTTTGTTTTGGTAAGCACTCCAGCCATGAAAAGGAAACCCACAAGAAATTTGCATCCAAGCAAGCAGCATGACAGGGACTTTAAACTGTGTATACATGACAAAACCCATCATCAGTGCAATGCTTTTTATATTCCCCGTCTTGGTAGTTAATTTCCTACATAAACTTTCAAAGTCTCTAATTTAAATTCTTCATGGGTATAACCTGTTAAAGGTGCTTCAGATGACAACTTAATAAAGGCTGATCTTGTGAAAACAGAACAGAACAAGATGACAAGAAATTAGAGTGCTATTCTTGGTTTTCCTTATTTTTTTCTAGTTCTCAAAAATTTGTTTAACCTTGCTGTACTTCACTGTACTGGAAGGCTAATGATGCATGCCTATTCTACAGAGAACTGGGAAAATAATTATCTTTACATTTCAAAGCTATGGGAATGAAAAGTATCATTACTTTACTGTTATTTAATTGTATTAAAATTATCCTTCAACTTCCATTAAAGTATTCGGTATTTAATATAACAAGAGAGAGCAGAAGTAATGAATACCACAGTCCCTTATTTTCTCTACGGGTAAAGGTATTTATAGGAATTGATTGGCAAAGCCAAGTCTTTTTGGAGGAAACAGTGCCTACCCTCTGTCTAAAGGAGGAAGAACCCCTATCAAACTCATATCACCAGTTTAGTTTGGGTTCTTCACAGTCATTTTGTAGTGTTTCAGGTCTGGGAGCTTTTGGGTTCTGTGAACATTACAGTGCTTCTCTGGTAATTACACTGCAAAGAAAAATTATCTAAAGTTATCTAAAGAAATCAAGCTCTCTGGTGTTAACATCCCAAATGGGACGAGAACAACAGTAGGAAGCTGACTAAACACACATCTCTATATAGAACTTTAATATTTCCTCAATACTGTGCTGACTAAAATAAGATATTTCAGAGAATTTCCTGTCAGACAGAAATCAGATCTAAGGGCTCACTGAAAATTAGTAATAATTATTAGTGCTACGAAACTTCCTCCTTCCTTTGCACTAACCAATGACTGTTTCTGAAAACAACTCTTGCAAAATCAGAAGACTCGTCAGGAGAAAGGTGACTACAACAATGACATCAGAAGCTAAATGATCTATTAAAAGGGAACATTCTGATAGTTGATCTATATAGGTGAGATGCAGTAATAAACCCATGTAAAGACATTCCTGGTTCCCGAAGAATTTACACTCTGTTTTAGGCAGAGAAATTAGCAAAGATATTTTGGATGTTATTGTACTTAAAAATAACACCATCTTTAGGTGTTACTGATCCCTGTGACTATTGGGTTATTGTATTGTGCTACAATAACCCTATGAATATTAATAGTTTTTAAAATAGCAATCATCAAGCAATAAATTTATCAGAGTTAATTTTATTTTTTAATTGATATTTAAAGTTTTTAAGGCTTTGGATTAAATTTAGGTATTGAGTAAGTTGGTTTGAAATTTATGAAAATAGTTATAGTAGGTCACATCTTAGCATGCTGAAAAGTTTACATCATGACTCATTAAGAAGGCAACATTATTCAAATTCCAGGTCTTTATGTGTTTCCATGTCTTCTTTTTTTTTCCCCCTATGAAATGAAGAGTGTATTTGATCCTCTAACTATAAAAGTCTTCAGACATTACAGTCACCTGCAGCTCTGAGTCACAAAACAAATATTTATTACAGCCCGGACTCTCAGTATCCAATTGTGTTTTGATTCCTCAGTTCTAATTGCAATGCATCGTGTCACTCTCCTGCAACAGCTAAATTAGTTTTAAATAGCCACACAAACACTACAACCATATACTTAATTTGTCTTTGTTGTGGAAAACTAATTAACATGTGACAAAATAAATTATTATGTTTGAAGGAGGTCAGTGAATGAATTAAATGAGAGGTCTTAAGATATCACATTTAAACAACAAAAGATGAGCTACTCTCATTGTCTGAAATGACCCTTCTAGCTGCATGTGGAAAGTCATAATAAAGAAAGGTAGTACATTAATTTTATAATAATGTCAGTGATAGTGCAGATGGTACCAAATGAAAGACAATGAAAAAAGCCTCAGGGTCATTTGGCCAAATGAACTTTTAACAGAAGCATACCCACATTACATGGGAAACTAAAGCTACTCTGACAGTCAAGGTCTAAAGTCCCCAAAAGTTCCAAGAGAAAATTTCACAGAAATTTTTAAGTATCTGGAATAAAGTAGGATTAAACAATCAAAAGCTGCTTCTGTGGCACAACAGAGAAGAAAAAACTCTTAAACTAGAATCCAAGGAAGTGCTACATTTGTAAAATTATTCAGAGTAACTCTAAGGTATCTAGGATGCATTTTCCATTGTGGCTTTCTAAAATCTGTTTCTTGTGAATTATTCCAGAAAATAAGATAGTATACTCTTTCATCTTTACAGCTGAGGTTCTGGAATCCATTGTTATTTTTCTTTTAGATTCTAAAACTTGATCTAAAGATTCTGACAAATTTTGTAAGACAGAATACTATCATAAAGGATATGAAGAACTATACAGTAGCTTTCATCTAATTTTTTTCATGTTAAAAGATATGTATGAACCAATTGTAGCAAGATTAAATAACCTGAATTCTGTGAAGTGTTCTTGTTTTGCTATCATATATATTGTACACCTATTTTTTAATATATCTATGGAATTTTACCCTTAATGCAGATGTATTTAAAGAATCCCCATGAACCCAGTTGGATACCAAATAATTTCATTTGTCACACAAGTTTGACCTGTGTGGTTACTTACATGCTGGGTAGTGCCTAAAGACTTCTACTGCTCTAGAGACTTAAATCATTTGGATATAAATCTATTCATAGGTCTTAATTACAAACTTTGTGTACATTATGGGTTCAGTTCTCTATTATATGCCAAAAATACAAGTAGCTTTATTCAGGTAAAAACAAAACAAGAAAACAAGAAAACAAAACAACAAAACAAGATTAAAACACCATTTATTTTCACCAAACAGGTAAGGTTGGTGCAGACGACTGGAGGTCATTTAGTTAGAGCATGTTACTTAGGCTTGTGTTCAGACAGCTTTTGAATTTGTCCACAGAAGACTCCACAATCTCTCTGGGCAGCCTGTTCCTTTCTACACTTTTTCACAGAAAAGAAACTTCTTTTAGCTTCATTTTCTATTCTACAGCATCAACATTATTTTCAGAGAACAAAAGTATGAAATCAGCAGAGTTCTGCAATTACAACTACTTAGAAGCCAAAGTGAGAGTTAAGTGTAAACTTTCATTGACCTAAGTTGATGCTGGCACAATCTAAATAGGCATGTTTACTTGCCACTGCTAGACTTATCTGTGATCTAGAGTACACTTTGACTTCTACTTTTTCTATAGGAAATGGTTATGTGAAGCACTGAAGCATCCAAAAATGACCGAGATACAGACTTTAAAAGCAGGAAATCCAATAGAGATAATTAGTGAGCATTCTCTAATAACACAGTGCTACCGATACACTGTAAGATATTTTCAGGAGTGCAAATTCCAGTTATAGGCTAGAAAATGCAAAAAAGCACATCAGTTAAATACAGTTCATACCTTGGGGGAGGAAAATGAGGTTTGTACTACCACTGTCTTTTTACCTCCTTCAGTAGCAGGCTACGAAGTCATGCAGAGGCAAACTTAGCATGTAAAACAAACAATTGTGTTCTTTTTCTTTAATATAGAGTTTTTAATTGTTCCAGGACCAGATTCTGCCACTATTATAATGTATAGCATATTGATAGCTGAAAACATTTATACTTTTCTCATTTAAGAGTCTCCTGAACACTTTCTTGCCACTGAAAGTTTCAACACGCACTCAAGAAGAAAGGCTATGTAAGGTATACCCTCACACTTGTCTGTTGCCCTATTGATTTCTGGCTGTTATTTCACTTGAGAAGTCACAGACTTTAGCAGAGTAATTTTCACACTCTCTCATGCCTGTGTTATTTCAATGTTTTTTTCTTTATCTTTTCATGTAATTGTATGAAAAATTAGAGATTGGGTAATACAGTTAAAGGCACGTAACACCTATCAAGGTCTATAGTTTTTTTATTGCCGAATAGTTGATTATTTAGGTTTTTTATTTCTTTAGGTTAGTAGAAAATTGAGAATTGCCAAGAACCAAGATGAAACAAATATAGAACCATAGTTTGAACTGGAAGGGAATTTGGAGACGACTTCCCTGCCATGGGCAGGCACACGTCACACTAAGACCATCCACTGTGGCTCTGAACAGTTCAAGGCATCTGCAGCTTCTCCGGGCCACTTCTTCCAATGTCTCACCGTGATACAATCTTTCACATGATTTAAAGGGTGGAGATTTAGACACTCATGCAGATCTTTTGGAGTACAGAATGTTCAGTCCTGTAGTTGCATGCAAGAACAAGTTGACTTTAACAATATCTTCCACTATTACCAGTATGCACGAAGGGAAAAATATTGGCCTTCAGCATTTGCTCAAGGCTTAACACAAGCTTACTCATCCTTGTCTTGCACATGAAGATAGATCCATTAGGCCAAATTAAAAAAAAAAAAAAAAAAGAGAGAGATCATAAACCTATTTCTTATCACAACAGTAAGAAATAATTTTTACAAGAGACCAAATGCCAATCTAAGGCTGCTGAAACTATCAGAAGCTTTTTAACTTGGCATACCTCAAACGTGACAAATCAGTACAATATTCATATGGTTATTACACCCTGTAATTAGGATGTCACTGCAAAGTTTGGCCTGCCAATTTATGTCTTTTAAGAGCTCCATTTGGGCTTGATCATTTAAAAAGCTCAACATCATGGTCTAGTGCACCAAGAGGCTGTAATGGTCCTGATTAGAGTCCACTCACAAGCCCTGCCTGTGGCCCGAGAAGATTCATTTAGCCACAGGTTGCTCTGTCCTATAGGTGTTACCTCCCACTCCCACATGGGTGTTCTGGTTTGTTGCCTTGCCTTTGCTCTATGATTTCTCCATAAACTCCATTGCTATTACCACTCTCCTTTGCTTATCCCACTCAGATCAGACTGTGCCCTGGCAATGAGAGCTCTACTCGTCCTCTGCTGTGGCTGCTCTCAGCTCTTTGTTCCCCTTTAGCTTTGGAGTCCTTCTCTTGCTGCTGGCTGGTACGCGGTGGCCACTGTTCCTGTCAAAATGAATCTCTCTTAGAAGTGAGGCCCCTGAAAGTAGTCAGCATATAATGCAAACAGCTGTGCATGGAGCAGCTCAAACTTGCTACTCACTGTGAGCATATTCAGTTACAAGATTTGCCTTCAGTATCTTGCATTCTTCTCCCACTTTAGCCACTCCTTTCCAAAATGTGCTAGTAACTCTTCTTCCAACATGCATATGCACTTGCAGGATGCTCTGCCTAGAATGGGGTCAAACAATCTGAGCAATGCCCCATTTACCAGTGGTAAATGAAGAAGGGGGCATCATACTGCTTTTGGTGTTGAATAAAGCTGAAACGAGTCTCACTCATCAATCCCAAAATTAAGCATTCTGATAGTGAGATGAAGATGTGGTAGGACTGGTAAAGTACCCAGATAAAGGAATAAACAAGTGATACGACCAACAACTTACCAAAAGCTGCTGAACTGACACAGCTGGCCTGAAGACATATGACTGACAGTCAGTTACTCTATACCATAAAAGCCCAGTCCAGAATTTTAGCGGCAGAGTCTTCTAACACATTCCTTCTCTTCTAGGAGTGTATGTGTGGAGGTTCCTCCCATGAGTGAAGATATCCCTCAATGTTACTTCTTCAGGCTGAGCAAGAGATTTGCCCACAGTCATTGGTGTGGGTGAGTAACGTCAATCTCTACTTAATAATTAATACAAGTGCTTTAATATAATTGCTTCAACATTGTTTTATAATACACTATATTATAATAGTTGCTATAGCTCCTATACTGTGTAATAAATAATTCTGATAAAGATCTTCTTGTCTAATCGTTATCATAATAAATCATATATATTTCTATAAATATATCTGGTTTGCCATTCTTAATCTTGCAAAGTTCAATTACACATGTATAATCCTTTAGACATAGATTGTTGACAAATCTGGGACTGAGACTGGATCCAGCCACACCCAGGCTACTCTGAGAAGGAGTTTAGAGAGCAAAGGGGTCCTTTCTGTACCCTGCGATTCAACAGGAGGGCTTCTTTAATAAATTTTATATGAAGCTCCTCCTGCCCACAGTAAAGAGACCAGCTGTGCTTCAATCTATATGGCTTTGTATGAGAACAGCTGAAAGCAGAAAAGACCTTGCCATTACTGCAATGGGAAGTAGCTGGAGAAATGGCCAGAGAGAGACTCACATAGCCAAAAAGAAAAATGCATATTGTCCCCCATAGCCATAGTCAGTTAATTGACTTCAGTGATGGTATCTTACTTAGGTAACATCTCAAAATTTTTACTTTTTTCACAATTGCTCCAGGAGCCAGGAGATAAAAGGACAGGCCATTTAATTCCTCTTACTGTATACCTAAGCCTGCGGTGTACAACTGCAGATGAGGGACTCTAAGAAAACACTCTAATTAATTGGTTGAGAAGAGATCTGCTGTAGAGATATTTTGCAGCTCTCCTAACAATGAGGTTGCATCTAATGTACCAAATAATATTCTCCTCAGACACAGTTATGAAGTTTCACTTTTAGTGTCCTTGCATTCTGCACATATATCAAAGACTTAATAATACCCAACTGCATCATCCAAAAAGGCAAAACAAGTGAAAGAAAAAAAAAAAGTGCTAAAGCTCTGCAAAATTTGAAGAAAAATATCAGTTGTATTTTTTAAAGCATCAGGAGTTTGGAGGAGGCTAAAAGAAAAGATTATGTTCTGTTAGAAAGCTTTTTGAGAGCAACCTGCATGCTGCATCTTAAACTCAAATCTTTTGGTAAGCCTGTTGAATATAATGTAATATTTGTCCATGTCTCACAAAAATTACTTAAACTGGAGGATATTATATAAAATGAACTTAATTAATATATCTATAGAATAAATTAGGTTTTCCTTGTCTTTTTGGTAGTCTGTTGATAAAGGATGCTTTTAGAAAATAAAAAGAGGACCAAGTTTATGTCTCTAACAACTCAATCCTACTGATTAAGAGATTTAAATTCTTTTAGGGGAAAAAAATATATAAACATAACCTTCTCACTTTGCCAAAATATTAAATGAGTTAGAAATGGAACTAGAAGCATTTTTTGACACATTTAAGACATGCAGATAGCTTTCATCATCTTTCCTACTTAAAGATAAAAGTTGCATGTAAGAAATAGAGTACTTGGAGGCTATTAGGTATCTGGTAATCAGTTGACCATAAAAGCCTTTGAAATTATGGAACATAGGCCAGCTGACTGTCAGTAACAGGACTAGTGTACAATGTATACACTAATACACCACAGGGTAGTATCAGCCCAAATATAGAAGAGAGGGGCCACAAGTTAAATTTTAATTCATATAAATTAAATTATATATTGTTCCATATTTGATTAACAAAATCAGGCCAAAATAAAGTGAAAACATTTATTATTTTCAGAATAATATATTTGCTATTTATTTGCTATAAATACAGCATTTTCCTTTAAATATGATTCATTCAAGAGAAGCTCAAAGACAGTCTTTAAAGTATTAACCATGGTGGCATATAATTTTTCTTGGTTTGAAGGACTGTGTTCCTTCTAAAAAACGAATGTTATAAATTTAGAAAAACACCCTATTAAGAAAAGGACGACATAAAGAATATGTTGTTGACTCACTGTCAGCTACATCTAGAGACAAATCAACATACTTCCATGGAAAATGTCTTGTGTTTGCAGTTTACAATCAATAAGGAGGGCAAAAGTGATAATATATGACACTTTCTGCTTACATATTCACTTTGTATCCTAATATACCTCTGAGATAACTTACAAATGGTTTAAAACAGAAATACTGAAGGAAGACATTGCTTTTTCCATCACGGGTCATGGAAAAAATAAAAAGTAATATACATGAAGTTGAAACAACTGGCACTTGTCTTAGTACCAAATTCTAAAAGATTTAAAAATATTTGATTGTTTGACTAGATTTCGTAGTACATCAATCATTATCTAGATGTGCTCTGTTTGTTGTATTTACAAGGAACATTTGGCTGAGCACTTGGCAGTGACCACAGGCCACTGGAACCCTTCTGTTGCTACAACCTCAGGCTTGTTCTTAACAGAGAAAAAAAACAGGAAGTTGCACACAAGAAATTGGAAGAGTAATCTGAAGAAGGCCAAAAAGCTGAGCATGAGAGACACATCCTTAAGACCAATATCTATGGCCACAGACTCCATTTAACTTCTTTTTTCATGTTATTCACGCATTTGCATCTTTAAGTTAAAATATGGGTTTCATTGTTTTGGTATTTTTCTTTTTGTAGTATGTGCTTTCAATGTTTTAAAATCTGAACCTAGCTCAGCTTATGTTCTGACCACTAAGATACTTCTAGTTCTGTGCCATGTGTTGCTTGCTGCCAGAAGCTCTCCCAAAAATTGCTCCAGAGGGGCTGAGAGTGATAATACCATCCTAGCAATACACTTCATGGCAAGGAATAAAAGCCTCACGCACTCTCCTAACCACTTGCATGCAGACATATCACTTTTGAAGATTATCACTATTCCTTCCTACTTGGGGCATCAAAAGATGGTTTTGCTACCATTGTATGACATTTCTTTTAATATTTATTTTAAGTTGATATGAGTTGTGACCCTTTAAATGGGGTGTGAGAGCTGGGATGCACCAGGTAAGATTACAGGCATCCCATATAAATATATGTAACTCAAATCCCAATGCATTTTATTTGGAGTGATTCAGAGGAGTATGATTGTGATGCACAGCATTAAAAACATTGGACAATTTTTTAATGCAATTCATATTTGCAAAGAGGGCATTTCAAAATTTACAGCAATGAAAATCTCTATCCCTAAAAACTCAAAACGCCTTAGCAAGTTACAGTAATAAACTGACTCTCTGAAGGGTGCTAGAGAGAAGAAAGGATGTGCAGATCTCAAAGAAAAAGTGTCAAGTCTTAAATACCAGTAGGAATACTCAATGGAGGAATCTGGCACATAGACAAGGCCTGTAGTAAAGGTTGATTTACTCCTTTTAAAGGCACTCTTTTCAATCACCTAGCTCTGGAACTTTGGGTGGATTTTGTTTTGATCTAAATTTTGATCAGCATACAACCACTTTTATCCAAGACAGTCATGCTGGGTTTGTTTATCCAAACTGCAGATTAACAAGGTAGAAGATGCAGAAACACTATACACTGTGTATGTAGATCCTACCAGTTTTACACGTGAAATCTTTCAAGTCTCACCTGTCAAAGTAACATCGTACAAATGTGACTAAACTGCTTTCAGAGCCAGGCCACACCTCAAAGAGGTGCAGCTGCACAGCTGCTGGTTCCAGAGCCCCCATCAACAGCCTGCGGATGATGGTTTGACACGCTGGTGTCTGGCCATCCATGGGGACGGCAGGTTACACGCTGACCAGTCCATTACAGCTTAGCTATGGGTGTGCTCATCCTGTACATGTGACCTGAAGGGACTCAGCTTGGCTTGGCACTCCCTGGGGGATGACCCAGTTCCGTTCCTGGGTACTGGAACATTACTTACCACAAACCTTTGGAAATGGCATGATGACTGCTGGGATACAGATGAAAGCTGCAGAAGGTACATTTGAACATCTGGGAGCAAAGAATACAAAACCAGAACATTGTAAAAATATGAAAGGTAGCCCAAAAATTCAGGACAAATTAAACTGCTTTCCAGAAGTTATTTCATTTTTTTTTTCCTTTGCATTACTTCTGTTGTTTTTAATAACACAGTACTTCTACTCTCTGAGATAATACAGGTAATACAGTAATGCAGGAAGACCAAGGCTGCAGGAGAGGGGAAGCCACTGCATCACGTCTCCATTTCAGGGCCTCTTCCTGAAACAAGCTATGCCAATGGAATGTGTGACACAGCGTGAAGTATGTGCTCACTGTATCAAATTGCCAGAAGTGGTGTCTGTTGTAGAGAGCAGAGGACAACCTTTGAAAACTGGAGGTGCTGCTTCTGTAGCACATCTTTTTTGTTCTACATCTGTAAAACCAACCAGTCAAAGTCTGTCAGGAAAGAAAATCTACCAAAAATAAAAGAAAAGAAAGAAGGCAATCAAGAGTAAAAATAAAAAGACAGAGCTCAGTGGATGAAAGGTGTCAGGAAGTTATCAATATGAGAGAGTATATAAAATAGATATAGGAAATCCGCCATAATTTTAAAATGCTTGGTAATTAAAGATGAAACAAAAGTACAGAAGGAAATTTTTCTGGGGAAAGGAAATCTAGTAAGATTGTGGAAACTAGAGAAAAAAATAGTTACATGCAAAATGAATGAGGAAAAAAAAAAGCAGAATCAGAAAACAGTTGCTTCAAAATGACAGTGAGTTATAAATATTTTCTAAAAAGCTGTGTCAACATACAAATGTATGCACAACAATGTGGAACAACTAATTACAAACAGAGCTAAAGTGTAAGTCTCTAATATCATTATCCTTGCATTGACTTTACTTTGTTATTTAGCTCTGGAAAGAAGTTCGTTACTTGGTAGGAACAATCCAAACCTTAAGAAATCCTACAAAACATTATACTGTCACAACTTTATTAGATTTCATTGCAGAACACACAAAATATTTTTAACAGTATCAGCTTAAGCTCCACCAAAAATCTTACAAAGTTAAGCTTTATTAGATTAAGAAAATGGCATATATGTCCAAAAATAAATGTTAAAGAAAATGCCTTAATACTTGTTTTGTATGTTTTCTGTAGCATTTGAAAATATTTTAAAATGCTTATTCAACAACAGAACATAGAGTTGAAACTGATTCAAATTCAAGTACCTTAAATGCAATGATATATAAGTGGTTTCCATTATTTAGAGATGTGCAAATGATGCATTATTTGACAGCTTTATGCCAACAAAATTTGCACCACTCTGCTTTTAAGCTATTGCCGTTGTTAGGAAAGCCAGTATGTCTAAAGGAAAACTTTTTTCTATGTAAATAAGAAATTAAATATGCCTAATAATATGCCTACTCAGTGTTTGTGACATGATCTTTATTTGAAAGTTTTCATTATAAATTGCTGTGTATATCCAATTTTCTGTTCATTATAGTAACAGCTAAGTCTAAATACTTAACCTTAATGACCCCTGGTAGCAAATTTCCAATTTATCTAAAAAATGGCAGTCTTGAGTACTTGTCTATTAGATATCTGAATGCTATAACTTACACCAGAATCACAGAATAAAGATTCCCTGGAGTCTTACACATAGTTCGGGCTTTATCTGAATGATCATGAAAAAATAACAAAACAGCAGGACAAAATACTGAAAAAGTAAACTATGCTTAAATCTGCAGATCCCAAACTTGCACAGAGTAATGAAGATGAGGGGAACTTTAGCGTAGCCCATTGCATTATGAGGGTGAAAGGATGCTCACTGTGCTTCACTAAAAAAGAGGGTTTTGTTATTCCAATTTCATTCAGTTAAGAAGTGGGGAATGTAAGTTTTGAGCTCAGCAAGCTTACACAGAGCTTTGATGGGCCTGTCACATAGTACTTTAGCTTTTTTGAGACTATTTACTTACATTCAAATGAAAACAAAGGTTGCCCAAATAATGCACACATCAAATTTAAAATAATGTGACAATAAATATCTTTCACACCAAGATGCAGGAATTACACACTGCATCAGAAAATCCACACCTTACTTCTTTTTTGACAATGGATGGACAGGAGTTAGAACAGATTTACAGAACTATACATGCTTGTGTAGAATTTTCTGCTAGACCTGAATGCTACAGCTTCTTTTCAGCTCTGAAAGACGTCAGAATGGCCTTCCTAATTTTATGTCCATGTTCACTGCAAATGGAAAAAAATAGTATCAGTTTAAGCATGGTAATTAACAGAGGAAAAACAGCTATCTGAAAACTTCTCTAAAAATGGAATGAGCAAAACATGGCGATAACTTCTGCCCTGACTGAATACTGATCAAGTGCACCTTGTCTGACAGGTAATGCCTACATGCTGCTGAGGCACAAGCATATCTAGGATGTGATGGAAAGAGAAAGAATCAAAGACAGGAAACCTTCATACATGCAATACGCAGGAATTATACACACATTACATCTAAGTAAAAATTCTTAATAGAAACAAATTTCCAATACTCAAAGCTATTCCCAAAATTATTCAATTACTGATGCAATGGTGCAAGGCACATTTAATTTATGTGTTTATTCTCCCTTTTATTTCTCTCATTCAAGGAACCATCAGTTACATCACCAATAAGGTGGCAATTTGTAGCACTATTTGAATCACTCAGTCCAACTGACAGGAGACTTATTTCTTTCTGAGTCCCAGCCTAACAGAAACTCTCCCTCTTATATTGCCAATTATCTTCACTTCAGTCGCTGCCATCTACAACCATTGTATGCTCCAGGTCTTAACTAATCTTACCCCTGAACAGAGTAATACTCCTGGCCCCCTACCAGCTACACTTTCATGTCCTTCAATTCCCAGGACTTTTAGTTAGAAATTCTGTCCCACCACTACTCAAAATTTGGCTAAAGCTCAAATCTTTATGCATTTCAGCTGCATTTCACAAAGCACTCAGTGTTTATAACACTCCACATAAAATTACAATTGTAAATGTCTACAAGTTATTTAGATTAGTTTTATTGTAACACCCACTCAACATCTTCACGTTTTCATACCCATTAGCCTGAAATCCTTAAATACTACACCTTTTGCCTGATTGTTTGGTAAAGATGAACTTACTGTTCCTGGATTGTGGATGCCATCCCTTTTCTGATACTGACTTCAGGCACTTCTCATTCCTTTCTGCAACAAAAACAGACTAGCCAAGTTGCTACAAGTCCTGGCACCTGTGTAACTCTTAATTCTTCCAAACACCAGCCAAGCCTACTTTCTCCACTGACTCTTCAAATCCCAAACCATTCCTCCTTACCAAATCAAACATGAGACAATGCCTCAGAAACATCACTTGAAACCAGGGCTCAGAATGACCCAACACCTTGGGCTTCAAGTCTGCACTGGGGCCCCGGGTTTTCCCGACTTTCCACTTATGTTTTGTTCCTTCCACAGTACTTCTAGATTTCCCAAATTCATAGAATATCCTGAGTTGAAAGCGTTACATAAGGATTACCAAAGTCAAACTCCTGACCCTGCCAAGAATCACACCATGGGCTTAAGAGTGTTGTCCAAACACTTATGTCAGACTTAGTGCCCTAACCACTTCCCTGGGGAGCCTGTGACAGGTCTCAACCCTCAGGGTGAAGAAGCTTTTCCTAATACCCAACCAAAGCCTACACAACACCTTCATGAAGTTCCCGCAGACCCTTTGCAGGTCACCAGAGAGAAATCAAGTGTTGCCCTCCACTTCCCACGGAAGCTGCCGCTTGCTGGGAGGTTTCCCCCGGTCTCCTCCAGGCAGAGCAAGCCAAAGGACCTCAGCTGTTTTTCATGCCTCATCCCCACTAGACCTTTTTATTATCTCTACAGCCCCCCTTTAGACGTTTTCTGACATTTCTAATGTTTTCTCAGAGCTTTCCCTAGATCTCTCTTGCTTCCTGTAGTTTTTCAAACTATCTTTCGGAGCTTCGACAACAAAGCCCGAGTGCCCTTCTCTCGGGGCGTGGGGGGAGCCTTCTGGCCCCCCTTGCGAGAGGCCCTACGGAAGGGTCCCGCAGAGCCGCTGCGGCCCCTGAGAAAGAGGAGAACGCGACAAAGCGCGGAGGCCCGGGCAAAGAGAAGCTCTTTCGGACGGGCACCGGGGGCACCTTGCGCATGTTTCTAAATCCGGGCCTGCAGCGAGGCTGCGTGACCTCCGCCGCCCACCCGCGGTGCCGCCGCCGCTCGGCCTTTCCACACGACAACACGGTGCTGCTCTCCAGGCGCGGCGGCCACGGGAGGCCAGAGGCCGAGGGCACGGGGCGGCCGGGGGCACGGGGCTGCCGAGGGAACGGGGCTGCCGAGGGAACGGGGCTGCCGAGGGCACGGGGCTGCCGAGGGCACGGGGCTGCCGGGGGCACGGGGCTGGCAGCAGCCGCGCTCCCGGCCGGCCGCAGGGGACGCGGAGCGCAGCCCGCGCCGGCCTCGCCGCCCCAGGGCGACTGGTGACGAGCGCCGCGGGTGCCGGCCGCCCATTGGCTGTGGCGCGGGGAGCGAGCGGCCAATCAGGGCCGGGAGCGGAGCGGCGCAGCGCTCGCCCTCGCCTCGCCCGGCGGCCCCGCGCGCAGGGGGCGGAGTCACGTGACGCTCTGTTTACATCCTCTCAGCTGTCGGGCCCCGCCTCCCCCGTCCCGTCCCGTCCCGTCCCTCGCACCGGCCCCGGCCGCCGGACCGACCCGCGCAGCCCCGACCCGCGGCCGCCCGGCGCAGCCCTCCGCTCGCTCAGCCGTTTGTCCGCGGCCTGCCGGAGCGCTCTCCTGCCTGCAATTCTCGCCGCCCCCCCTCCCCTCCCCCCCCAAGGCGGGTCTCGCCGGTGCCGCCCAGCGCAGGGTCCGGGGCCCGCTGCGGAACGGGTGAGTGTCCCGCACTGTGCGGGGGCTGGGCAGAGCTGCGCTCCGGCCGCGCTGTGCGGCGCGGAGGCCCCGTCGGATAGCCAGGACGGTGGGTTGCGGCGGGGGAGGGGAGAATGCGGCCCTCCGGCCCCTGCCCTCCGTCCCCTGCCCTTCTCTGGCTCCCCGGGTGCTCCGCTCCCCATTGTCCGCGAGCCCCGCACGCAGGCGCGGGGAAAGGAGGATGAGGGGGTGAGGGGGAGGCTGTTGTTTTCGCGCAGCCGGGACAGGGCGAGGGCTCGCCCTGGGGAGGGACAGGACGGGCTCTGTGCGTACGCCCTCGGCAACCCTTTCTCCTCCTTCTCCTCTGCCCGAACCTTGCCACCCCTCGCGCCGTCTGCGTAATGAATAATCTCTGGCCCAAAACGGATTGGGAGGAGGAGAGGTGGCTGGTGTAGCTGCCGTGGGCCTGGCAGCTGTGAGAGGACGGGGACAAGAGAGAAGGTTCCAGCCTCGCCATCCAGGCGGGGGGTGGTGGTACAGGCAAGGTGAGGGCAGCGCTTGTCCCCCGCTGCGGCTCAGCGCCTTGCCTCCCCTTATGACGGCTGTGTGTTTGCTTTTTGCCTTTGAGGAAATGCAGTGAGAAGGGAAGCCTGCGGTTTTGGGGATTTATTTGGGTTTAGTTTGTTCGGTTTGTTGGGGTTTTTTTCACTGTCGAGTCGTTAGAACCTCAGAGGCTTTGTGGGGGCTGCGTCTTCCAGGCAGAGGCATCGTGCGTGAGACAACATTTTGTTTTTCGAGCAAAACCTGTGGGCTAATAAAGGGTATTTCTCCTTTTGGGAGTGGAGGAGGTGGTGCGGCTGCAGCAGGCGGAAGATAGTTTGTTTACATAAATAAAGTGTGTGGAATGCGCGATAACTCCGCATTTCTCCCGCAAACCAAGGTGGGTCGGTCGGTGAGCATTCCTGGCGGCAGCTGCCGGAGGAAAAGGCGAAAGCTGCCTCTGCCCCCCGCTTTGCCATAAACGCACATTTTGTCTCTGTTTATATTTTGGTCTCTGTTTTGGCTGGGAGAAGAGTAAGGGGAGGAGCAGGAACTGGCTCCGGGGCTGCCACCTCCTCCCGTCTGTTTTCTTTGTTGTTATCAGCTCGAGGAGGCGTCCTGAGGTCACGTCTGTGCTGAGCTGCGGTCTGCGGTGTTAATAGGATTCCTCTTGGGCCCGAAACCTCGGGCTGCCTTCTGCAGTGCGTGCGCGGGTCTCGTCTGCCATCCGTGCGCCCTCCTCCTCCTGCCTCGGCAGTTGTCAGCGGCTCGCTCTGAAGTTGCAGGAAGGGGAAGGGGGGGCGGAGGGAAAAGGAATCTTGGCATTTATTTGATACTCGGTCAGCAGCCTGGGCCTCCTTTGTGCAGCTCTGTCATTAAAAAAAAAACCAAAAAAAAACAACCCAAAAAAAACAACCAAAAAAGAAAAAACTATACCAACAACAGCAAAAATGGAAACAAGCATCTAAGGTGGAAGGGTGAAGGGGGGTGTCTGTTTGAAAACAAATTCTTTATGAAAGTACTAAACTGCTCTAGTGTGTGGAAAATGCTTGTGTCCTTGCTGTACTTGCCAGTGCCAACATAGTGTTCTCCTAGGGGGTATTTTTTTTTACTCCCGTCAAGTAATAAGTCAAGCACAGTTGAACTGCAGGCTTTAGCAAGAATGTAAGGTTTCTTCTGAAAAAGATCAGTAAATGTTGAGACACAAAATATACCCAGAATAAGACTAGTCAGCACTTCAGCAAATTAATGAAGGTACCCAATTTCTCTTGACCATATGATTTCTGTGTTACAGAGAATGCTTTTCTAGATGCAAGGCACAAAAAGTTCAGTGCTTAGAGTTAGTAGATTACAATTATGTGTGGTAAGAATGTCTTTATAACCTTAATCCATTCTATTTGCAAATGAATTATAATGGGGGGGTCATATATTTTGGTTGGGTCATAATGTGTGATATGCTTTTTCCCCCCCAACAGGACCATGACCGTACTCGGGCAGACCATATCTGGAAGGAATCAGGCTTGGATAAATGGGGCTGTCTTCTGCAGAACTCCTGCCTGATTTGTTGTGAAAGTTTGAAAAGTGTTTTGGATGTGTAGGTGGAAAAATGAGTGACAGATCAGTTGGTATTTTAACTGACTCTGGATGAATAAATACAATGATAGGAATGTTAGAAGTATGTGAGTGAGGTCAGAGAGCCACAGTGAGGGCTTTGGAGATGGACATTTAGCCAGATGTTCTTTAAAGCAGTCAGTGTCCCTCAGAAATGCTAGAAAATACAATTGGATGTTGCTGGGAGGTCTGCAGTGGGGAGAATATAATGAAATTGCAGAAACAGGGAAAAGTATGTAATACTGGACAGTCCTGGATGGCCAGATTTTATCACTGTGTCTTTGCAGGGTTAGGTTCCTCCCCTGCATCATCTCTGATCTTCACTCCAGAATTCTTGTTAAAATCTTCCTGCCTCTCTAACTAGCCTTCTTTCTGGATTTCCTTCATCTAATCTGTGTCATAACTTTCTTTAGATATGTGACTGGCCAGTCTCAATTTTGCAGTATTCTATTGATAAATTATGAAATCTTGCCATTTTGATAATCATAATCTTGGCAGTTTGGTGGTTTTTATAGTTTAGTCTTCTGTTTGCCTGTCAGTGACTGCCCCAACCTGCAGCTCCTTTTGAAGAGGCTTCTGCCTAATAGGAGACCTATAGGACCTCAGTGTCAGGCATGTATTGTAGTTTTCCATGCCTGTGGTGGACTGTACCAGAACAGTCACTTGTCTGTGTTTCTGTAAACTTGAAGTGCTTTGAGATGGAAGTGTCTATTCTGAAGCTAAAGTAGGCTTCTTAGGCATGATACCAGTGCAGGTTTAAGTCTTAAGGCAAACTTAAAAGACATTAGCACAAATGTCTTTTAATGCTAAAAGACATTAACACAAAATTCCTACTGCAAGACATTGTAGTGCACTGTTCATGTTTTTCCCCCCAGAGCTAGGCAATAAAATTTCCCCATGCAGTGTCTCAGAAAGGTTTAGGTCAGGTGTTTCAAAAGTTCCCCAGAAGAAATACATTAAAAGCAATTCTGAAGTACTAAGCATTGTGGTAATGCTCATGCCAGTGTTAGGTGCATGGAGAGAAACACCTGAGAATATAGTAATTTTTTTTCTGTATGAGAGGTCTTTACATGTACCTGTTCTTGTCATTTCCTGCTTTGTTCCAATTTTCAGCAGGAATGTCACAGAGATCTGATATTCTGCCCTGCTGAACTGAAAGTGATGTTCTGTAGCTGATGATTAATTAGCTCTTTGTGTAAGAAAAGTGCCTTGAAGTCTCCTGCACTTGGCACTCTTGAATGCAGACATCGTTTATATAATCTCATTTATTTTTCCTACTTAGAATGTAAACTACTCAAAGCAGAAGTGAGTAGAATGTAGATGCAATTATGTTTTGCAAATGAATAATCAGGTATGTGGCTGGCCTGAAGCACTCCAGGAATCTTCCAGTAGGGTCGTAAATTGATCTGCATGCTTCATCCTCTCCAAAAAGTGTGGATTTTTTGGATGGAGAGCTCTTTTAATTTATCTGCTCTGCAGAACTGTGTTCACACTGTTCTGCTTCATCATTTCTGGAGTTATAGGGACTGAATTGTGGTAGTTATATCGAATATTATGGGTATAATTACATGAGAGCATCAGGAAATAACTACGGTGCTCCAATTCCTTTGTGACTTATTTGTGTGCCCTGGATGTTAATGAAAGCCTTCAGGCCTTCTTCATGCAAGCACTTAAAGCAGTTTCTTCTGCTGTGTTGCTTAAGAAATTTGGGCTGGACTTCTGGTCCTTGAAAAAAAAGAATTCATAGCAGCTCAGGATGCTGAATATAATACTTTGTAGAGCTGAAAAGATAGCTGGCTGGAATTCAGAAGAGGGCTGTTGGTTTTCTGTTGTTTTTTTCCTGGTATGTCATGCCTACTTCATGTTTCAGAGGAAGTGTTGCAAAGTTGACAGTGATGTTAACTTCAAGGAGCTTGGAATACTGATGGAATGTGTGTATGTTGATTCTTGCTGAATCTACTTCTGATCAGGAGCTTATTGGAAATGTTGAAAGTGAGAAGTAAACTGCTAAAAAAAGCAAAAATGTCCTTATAAATGGCAGTTAGTCCAAAGAAAATTATTTTTGGAAAGAGGAAAAGGATTGGAACCTGTAGGGTTGGAAACGGGTCTGGAGAACAACTGCAGGGTCTTAATTACTTACACATTGTGACTACAATTGGTATGTGACATATTTATCAATTAATTTTATCAGTCCTTTAAATTGCAGCACAAAAGTATAATTGTCCTTTATTGTGAGGAAAAGACACTGGATTAGAGGTCATTACAGA